GGTGCCAAATGCCCGTTGCAAAAGCGCAATGTATATGATATATAATACATCGACCTTCGTTTCCTCTTCCAGTTTCTGCTCACATCGCTCTCCAGGCCGCTAGAAAGGTCCCAGGAGAAGTGCACCTGGTAAGGAGGAAGGATCAGCTCATGCTGCTCCTGTTCCCTCCGCGGTCGCCTACTTCCTCCTCTGCCGGTTCGATGCCGTCTGACGCTCTGGGATGGCGGGTCGGCAAGCCCAGAACGAGATTGATGGGTTGCCGACTCTAGGCATGTGCTTCCCTGGTTTGAGGTCGAGGGCCACATCAGATGAGGGCCATATGTGGACCGCGGACCACAAGTTGAGCACCTCTGACCTACGTCATCACACCTTCATTTTTTTCCAGTTCCCCCATAAGGAGGACTTTCTCCACAGTGCATTCGCTAATACCTAGCCTTCCATCAGTCTGGCACGGACTCCAACACACCAGATATCTACACATAAAGGCATACTGATATCTGCACCACTCCTACTGCTTGCATCACTTCTTGAGACAAGGACCGAGGGAGGGTGTTGTGATGTTCTCAGGAAGCTATGTACAGCACCCTGCTGGCCCATCCCACCAGTCATGCATTACATAGAGAAGTACAGAGACCCAGTGAGGACATCACTGGATTGAACATAAGATATGTAATACAAATAGAATTTTTAAAAAATTAGATTGTAAGCTCCCAGGATCAGGCCTTCCTAACCCTCTCGTATTGAACTGTATTGGCTCCCGTTATACTGTAAAGCGTTGAGCAAACTTGTTGGCACTATATAAATCCTGTATAATAATAATAATAATAATAATATAAATCCTGTATAATAATAATAATAATATAAATCCTGTATAATAATAATAATAATAATAATAATATAAATCCTGTATAATAATAATATATAAATCCTGTATAATAATAATAATAATAATAATATAAATCCTGTATAATAATAATATATAAATCCTGTATAATAATAATAATAATATAAATCCTGTATAATAATATATAAATCCTGTATAATAATAATAATATAAATCCTGTATAATAATAATAATAATAATAAAATCCTGTATAATAATATAAATCCTGTATAATAATAATAATAATAATAATATAAATCCTGTATAATAATAATATAAATCCTGTATAATAATAATAATAATAATATATAAATCCTGTATAATAATAATAATATAAATCCTGTATAATAATAATATAAATCCTTAATAATAATAATAAATAAAAATGGATCAGCATATTGATAAAAGAGAAATAAAGAACCAAGGAAGGCAAGATAATGACATATTAAACTTCAGATTTAAAACTTCAGGATGTTTTTGCAGAGTTATATCGGTAGAGCATTGACCAATGTTCTCTAATCTTCTCTGATTGGACAAAGCGGAGGTCCTGACTTCACCACCGTGCCTGTCCACCTTGTCCAATCAAAGAACTGACATTTTTCTTTTTTTGTTTTAGGACCCATTTATACGAACACACTGCAGAAACATATGCGACATGCATTACTGTATTGAGGTGTTATTCATTTTAAAACCCACTTCAACGTATTGAGGCAATGTGCCGGTGCCGCAGCATGACACAATGCACGGTCGTGTGTTGCATTACCAAAATACGGCCATGGCAAGGTCGGCTGCATTGGCAGCTCATTTGTTTCAATGGGATGACTTAATGTAATGCACACTATAAAGAAGTACATGAACCCCTAAGATTTCTGTATGTGAGAATCTACAATGTGTGTGCTCTGAACATTCTCTCCTGCATTACAGATAGGGGTTCCCAGATCAGTAAGGTACCAACAGAAGAAAATAGGGGGAATTGGGCACAGCGGCCATGCTTGGATGAAAGGTGACCCGGTAGAGTGTGTTCCCTCTGTGCACCTTTTGGCTCCAGCAAGCATGAGCTCATGATGAATCATTTCCTGCTCCCTCCTACATGGCCAGTTTTAATGTGTTGTTTGTTCACTGAAGTGACCTTCTCTAGTATAATTGGTAGATGCAGGAAAAGGCCTATTTAGTGCTTTATTATAATAAAAAAAACATGGGAAAAATGTGTTTTGCTTTTCTGTAACAAAATGAGCATCTTTTGTATATCTTCAACACAAATCTTTTGATCTTAGATTTTATTTATATTAATTTAAAATTGTGTAAAATATACTATTATATTTGTAAAATCTACTACTACTACTATTATTACTATTTATTTATAAAATGTATTTTATTATTATTTCTATTACTATTTATTTCTAAAATATATTATTATTACTATTATTACTATTTATTTCTAAAGTATATTAGTACTACTACTACTGCTACTACTATTATTATTACTATTTATTTATAACATATATTATTATTACTATTATTATTATTACTATTTATTTATAACATATATTATTATTACTATTATTATTATTACTATTTATTTATAAAATATATTATTACTACTACTACTACTACTGCTACTACTATTATTATTACTATTTATTTATAACATATATTATTATTATTACTACTACTACTATTATTATTACTATTTATTTATAACATATATTATTATTACTACTACTACTACTACTACTATTATTATTACTATTATTATTATTACTATTTATTTATAAAATATATTATTACTACTACTACTGCTACTACTACTATTATTTATTATTTATTTATAACATATATTATTATTACTACTACTACTACTATTATTATTATTACTATTTATTTATAACATATATTATTATTACTACTACTACTATATTATTATTACTATTATTATTACTATTTATTTATAAAAAAATATTATTACTACTACTACTATTATTATTATTACTATTTATTTATAACATATAATATTATTACTACTACTACTACTATTTATTATTATTATTATTACTATTTATTTATAACATATATTATTATTATTACTACTACTGCTACTACTATTATTATTACTATTTATTTATAACATACATTATTATTACTACTACTACTATTATTATTAGTACAATTTATTTATAAAATATATTATTATTATTACTACTACTACTACTACTATTTATAAAATGTATTATTATTATTACTACTACTACTACTTACTACTACTATTTATTAGTATTACTATTTATAAGATATATTATTATTACTACTATTATTATTATTATTACTATTTATTTATAAAAAATATATTATTATTGTTACTATTATTATCAAATACTACTATTAATTCTACTACTGAAAAAAAGGGGGGGGAAAACTGCGCTACACTCTAAACAATGTAATATGTGAATAAATGTGTGAAAAAATATATTCTGAAACATTAGTGAAACAATGAGTGAACTGCTGCTACTCTTTCCCTGAACACCAGAAAATACAAAACATATAAAAAAAATGAGTGCGCTGTACACTAAATAATCATAAACAATAATGAAACAAATAAATAGTGCTACATAAAAAATGTGCATAAATTCATAGAAATAATATAAGTCCACATTCATGTATTAAATAATAAGTAAGTCCAATATTCAATAACACAGTGCTGAGTGCTAAAGAAATCCTTCAATGGAAAGTGCATAGGTGTCCACAAATGCTTGACACAAAAGAAAAAAAAAAAAAAAAAAGCCTCTTACCAGACACTTTGATCTCCAATCAAGAGATCAAACGAGCAGCTGGTGTTCAGATCCCACACTGACACCCTAGTTAGCCATATCAAGGAGATCAATGGGAGATGAATAGACAACTCCAGGTTCACTGGAAGGAATCCATCACATCACACAGATAAATAAGGTGCACAAAGGCAGTGTAAATATTTAAAATTCCCAAGGTGTCAGACCACCAGCAGGAATGAGGTGACAGCGCAGGAAGCTCCTGCCTGAAGCACATTTCTCCAAAAATGGTTTCCTGTGGGATTGCAGTACTACTACTACTACTACTAATGATAATAATAATAACAACATATTAATAATATTATTTAAAAAAAAAATTAACATTAATACTATATGTATTATTATTACTATTATTATTATTAAAATAATAATAATAATAAATAATAATAATACATTTTAGAAAATACTACTATTACTAACACATTAATATTAATTATTTTGTTTTTAGAAAAATTAACATTAATACAATATTTAATAATATTAATAAAAATTATATATAGTATATTAATAATAATAGATTTTATAAAATACTACTACTACTACTAATAATATTAATTTTTTTTTTTTTAATTTTTTTTAAATAATAATATATTTTATAATACTTTAATATTTTTATTCACACCTTTTAAAACTGACAAATGGAACAGCACAGCCAAATACAAAGACTTTCTTATATTTACAATGATCCCTTTCTTTGTGCGACTTTGACAGGCTGTCATTTTGCTGTCATTGAGCTTTCCTGAGTGAACCTATCAGCTTCTTATATGTGAATATTGTCTGTAGAATGTCTGTATTCACTGTTTTTTTTTAAGATTGTCAGTGCTGACTTTCCTCTGAAAAACCGATTCCTGGCTATCATGCCAATCGTTTAACCACTTTACATATGAAGTCAAATTAGAGCTAGTGATCTGCACACAGGGGCGGACTGACCATTCGAGCACTCGAGCACTGCCCGAGGGCCCGGGGTCAGTAGGGGGCCCCATGAGAGGCCCCTGGTACATTTTTATTGTCTTCTTTTTCATAGGTTTTTTTGGGTGTGGGTGAGGAAACAGGGGCCCCATGACCCCCTATTGCCCGGGGGCCCCATGAGTTGTCAGTCCACCCCTGTCTGCACATGTGTTTTGAGTCAGTGACTCATTATTTACTGGTGACAGTGGATTAGAATGATCAGGCAAGTAGCATTTCCAGGAGGTGAGGTCATCCATGGCAATCTTTGGGTTTCTTTCAGCATTTCATTGAGGATCTGAGAAGGTTTGGGGAAGTGCGCTCTACGAAGATTCATCCCAGGTACTCACCGGAAGTCCTCGTGTTCCCTCTCTTCCTGGTGGTCCTGGTTCTCCTGGCTTTCCCTAAAAAAACAAAGCAGATTTAATCAGCGATGCTGCAGAGTTATTCAGATGTATGGACATGCCTATGAAACGTAAGAACATTCACGTGGAACCCTCTGGATGAACTACAGATAGGAGTTTGTGGAACTCCAAATCTTTCCATCTCCTTAATTATAGCCAGATTGCAACCACTGGAAATAGTATCTGATGGGTAGGAAGTGATGAAAATGAATACAAGCTGCTACTAAGTGAATATATTTAGGGATAACTGCAAGGTACATCAATAAAGTATCTTGAGGAGGACCTTCTTGGGTCCTCAATAAAGTATCTTGGGGAGGACCTTCTTGGGTCCTCAATAAAGTATCTTGGAGAGGACCTTCTTGGCTCTTCAATAATGTATCTTGGAGAGGACCTTCTTGGGTCCTCAATAAAGTATCATGAGGAGGACCTTCTTGGGTCCTCAAGTAAAGTATCTTTGGGAGGACCTTTTTAGGTCCTCAATAAAGTATCTTGAAAAGGACCTTTTTGGGTCCTCAATAAAGTTTCTCGGGGAGGACCTTTTCGGGTCCTCAATAAAGTATCTCGGGGAGGACCTTTTCAGGTCGTCAGTAAAGTATCTTCGAGAGGACCTTCTTGGGTTCTCAATAATGTATCTTGGAGAGGATCTTCTTGGGACCTCAATAAAGTATCTCGAGGAGGACCTTTTCGGGTCCTCAATAAATTATCTCGGGGAGGACCTTTTCGGCTCCTCAATAAAGTATCTCGGGGAGGACCTTTTCGGGTCCTCAATAAATTATCTCGGGGAGGACCTTTTCGGGTGCTCAATAAAGTATCTCGGGGAGGACCTTTTCGAGTCCTGAATAAAGTAAGGACCTTTTTCGGGTCCTCAATAAAGTATCTCAGGGAGTACCTTTTCGGCTCCTCAATAAAGTATCTCGGGGAGGACCTTTTCGGGTCCTCAATAAATTATCTCGGGGAGGACCTTTTCGGGTCCTCAATAAAGTATCTCAAGGAGGACCTTTTTGGGTCCTCAATAAAGTATCTTGGAGAGGACCTTTTTGGGTCCTCAATAAATTATCTCGGGGAGGACCTTTTCGGGTCCTGAATAAAGTATCTCGGGGAGGACCTTTTTCGGGTCCTGAATAAAGTATCTCGGGGAGGACCTTTTTGGGTCCTCAATAAAGTATCTCGGGGAGGACCTTTTCGGGTCCTCAATAAAGTATCTCGGGGAGGACCTTTTCGGGTCCTCAATAAAGTACCTTGGGGAGGACCTTTTCCACCTTTTCTCTTGTTTATAGACGAAGGACACACCGAACAGATGCATACACATTTAATACTGGAATTTTTACAAATTGGATATAAATAAGTTCTACACAAAATATCAGTTAATTAATCAATACATGAAAATCTCAATGCATACATTGGAGAACTAGGTAAAATAACAAGCTGATTCATTGTATCCCAGCATATACGAGTGTAAAATACACATTATAATAATAAACAGGTTCCATTTCAAATGACCCTACAAGGCCAAATCAATAAAGTGCACCGTTCTATCTACGCGTTTCATGAATATTCATTCACTTCATGAGGAAAGGATGCCACATAATGTCTACAAAAACACAATTAAAAAAATCGGAAATGATATTTGAGCACCCCCTTAGGGCTCATGTACACTGCAGTTGATAAACTGACGTTCTGGATCTGTTCAGCGTTTTTTTTCAGCAGTCCCTGAATTCTCCCTAATGTTTTCCTATGTGTCCATGTACACATCGTCGTTTACAGTCATTTACAGGCAGTTGAGTTTACAGTCCTTTTTCTGAACGCACCAAACTTGCGTTCAGCAGTAGATTTTTCAAACGCTTGTATAGGCGGTTGCGTTTGAAACATTTTTTTAACTCTTCCATTTTCAGATGCTGTCCAGAGCCTTTTATTCATCATGAAAAATGCATGCAAAGTGTTTTCCAGGTACTCAAATGGACCCGGTACACCATACTTTGAGGTTTCACATGAAAAAAAAAATATGTTAGACACTGCTGCAATAATTTCTGCACAGAAATGAGCTGGAACACATCCAAACACCACAAAAAAAAAAGACAGCTGATCTCAACACATACTGCTCTCTCTGCTTCTACTCTCTCTATTTCTCTCAAAATGTCTGAAATAGTTAATCTTTTACTGCATTCTGGGTATTTTGGAAGGTCTCCTGAGGTTATCTTAAAAAAAAGGTTCTAAACACAAACGCTCATAAATGCGGTATTCAAACGCGGCTAAACAGACGTTTTTTTAACCTACATTTTTCAGCAGTCAGTTTCCATCATTCAGAAGTGTCCTGTGTACATGGGGCCTTAAGAAGAATACGAGATGCTGCTCACACTACTGTCCTTTGCTCATAAAAACAAAACTATGAATCTTTTATCTTAGATTGTAAGCTCCATGGATCAGGGCCCTCCTAACCCTCTTGTATTGAACTGTATTGCTGCTGCATTGTCTCCCGTTACATTGTACAGCGCTGAGCAAACTGTTGGCTCCATATAAATCCTGTATTATAATATTTTATTAAAACTACAAGTCAGCTTGATAATTAGTAAAAAAAAATTGTATAACAAATGACCGCTCGTAAGAGCATAAAGCTACGTGCTTATGTATTGGTGAACTAAAACGAAAAACCCAACCAATGAGCTGCTGTTTTGATATTAATTAAACCAATTGCATGATGAAAGTGTGAGGCAATCCTCATAAAACAGCGCTTCACTTCATATCACAACAAAACATGGTTCTGGCCAGCTCAGTGGATTGCTGTAGGAAAGTCCTGGATTGTTTCTTGGATACACAGAATATAACTGGATATAAACATTTATAGGTAAAGTTGATCCAGGGAATATCTGATTACCTCTCGGGGGATCAGGAAGGAATTTTTTTCCCAGCAGGAGCAAATTGGATCATGCTTTGCTGGGTTTTTTTTGCCTTCCTCTGGATCAACTGTGGGTATAGGATTATAACTTTTTTTTCTATGGTTGAACTGGATGGACTTTTTTCTTTTTTCAGCCAGACTAACTCTGTAACTATGAATAATAATGAAAAAAAAATTATATAAAAAATAATAAAAAAATATAAAATCAAATAAAATAAGAATTAACAGTTCTTCCACCAAGGTTTGACAGAGTGTGATAAGGAGAGTAAAATCCACTCTTGATACTTCTTGTAAGAACAGTCTCAATATCCCAAAGCACCACTGTGTCCTTTAAGTGGCTAGCGCCCCATCAAAATGAACACTCACCAGAGCATGGTGAAAACCAAGCATAACTAGATATCCTCTTGTTAAGCTTGCCAAAAACCACCATTCAGACAAATCCAATAGGTCCAGAGCTCCAGGTTGGTAATGTTATAAAAACCAGCTAATAACGCATGATCTCTGGGAGCGACGATCTGTAGCTGTATTGATCCTCCTCACAAGAGAACCCTTCAGCTAGATGTTCCCTTTAGCTCACCCAGTCACATGAGGGAGGAAGAAAGTGGGAAGCTCCCATAGCCATTCCAGTTGGCACAAAAAAATTTACTGTGACACTTCCATATGATGACCGATACAGGGTGTCTGTCCCGGGATTTGTCAAAGAGACCAATGGAACCCCAAGAGGACAATCAAAGAGTGGCACCAGAGGGCACATAGATGGAATTAAATGATTCTGAGAATCCATTGTCCCACCAAAGGAAGACAGAAAAACCTGGATGGAGGCACAGCACTATATACACCAGATCACAATTCAGTTTATCATTTGCTGGAATTTTTTAAAAGTCGAAAAATATTTATGGTTCAGGTGATGCTCTAACCTGCCTTCTTAGCACCGACGCAGGGGCGTATTTACCGCAAGGCAAACAAGGCATTTGCCTAGGGCAGCATTTTTCAGGGGGGCAGCCCCCCGAAAAAAGGGATGGAAGAAGAGACACACGCAGCATGGGGACCAGGTGGGATCTGAGAGAGACTGCGGTCTGCTTGATGGTGTATGCAGAGCCTGATTCTTGGTGGTGGGGTTGCCAGTGTATGGGGGGTATGGAAGGCTCTCTCTTGCGTGTGGGCTGGGGTGTTGGTCAATGTCAGGCTCTCTTCATGGGGAAGGGGGTGTGTTGGCCAGTGTCAGGGTCTCTCCTCCATGGGGGAGGTGATTTTTGTATTGCCTAGGGCAGCACGAGAACCTAAATACACCACACATTTCTTGGTTGATTAGGTCTCTTAAAGCGCATTCTTTTTCATTTAGTCTTCTGCAAAGAATATTATACACATGTGATGGTTTGTGGACGTCATACCACCAAACCTATCCGCAGTGTGTCTGTGGGATTTGTGACCATTCAGCCAAAAAGACCATTTGTGAGGTCAGGCAGTGATGTTGAATGAAAAGACATTCCTTCAAGCCCTGTTTACAGGCACTGACGGTTCCAAATTTTTATTTACCGATTAACAAACATTTCCGCATGTCCCACATAGGGTAGTCCATCCACTTTAATGGGCTTCCCTATGCATGTTTGTCACGACACAGAAGCTCAAGAGGCGAAATTTTGTCTCCAAGCCAGGTGCATTTTTACACGCTTTGCATTCCGTGATTTTCGCACATTTTGGAGTTTGACAAGTGCAGCAAAAATTGCACCACATTTAGGGCGCCATTAAGAATGAATATAAAGGTGTGACCAGAAAGCTTATACTCACCTGGTCCTTCGCTCCAGTGGAAAATGGCCCTCCCCTATGATCCAGCGGTGGATGGTTCCTGACATCCTCACGTCCAGAGCAATTCTACGGGCGTTATGATGTCAAGAACAGTCCACTGCACAAGACCGCTAGACTGAAGGGGGGTGGGGGAACAGGAGCTGCAGGGACCAGTCTTGTCCTGGGAGGATTGGAGGATTAGGTAAGTATATCTCTGCTCTCCTCTTTACTACAAAAAAAACCCAGCAGTTTACCCTGAGATCAGCTTTACTTGTTTGCAATATCCACAAACTTCACATGAGATCAATCCACTTATGGATGTGTGAAACTAAGCTAACACTCTCAGCCCTGGTTCACACTGGATCCGACTGTACAGCTTCACTTGAAGTCGCACAATTTCAAAGTTGGATGGCAGTGTGACTTCAAGTGCGACTTTATAGACATCTGTGCATCTTCGTGCACGGATGTCTATGCAAGTCGCACCCAAAATCAGCAAAAGTAGTGCAGGAACTACTTTTCAAATCGTTGCAACTCTGATGAAGTCGGAGTCGCACCGATAAGTGCGGTTCATCCAACTATCATTGGATGCGATTTGTCAAATCACATGACAATTCGCAACAGTGTGAACCAGGGCTCAATCTTAAATGTTAGTTGTCAACAGCAACATGCAACACATGAATGAAACAAAGAAATTACATTTGTATAATAATTTCAATATACTGGAAACAAATTATCTTGGTGTCTCCACCCTATTCTCCATCCACAGCATGACCTTTAAAAAAAAATCCACACAAAAGAATTACTTTTGCACAAATATGAACAAATGGATAGTTGAGCTGACCACTATACAACTCAAGAGGTTAAAAGATAACTTGAATTTATTCAGATTTTTTGTGAAACTTAATAGTAATTCCTTTATGTGGATTTTTTAAAAATTAAAATTATTATATACAGTAAATGTCATTTTTTTAATTCATTTATGTTGCTCTGTGGGAGCAGTTCTGTGATAGTTATAGAAAGATGTGTGCACAGGTGTCAGGAATGGACTTGCCAATAGTGGTGGGACTCACCTGCCTTGTGGGTTGCAGTACCAGGGCTGGCCAGCGGGTGCTCTCAGCAACCAGAGGCTCACTCCTGCAGTCAGCCAAAACACCTGAGGCTGATTGCAGAAGGTGCATATAAGGAATGACCAGGCCTGTGATCTGGGCCTTGGTGTATGTTTCCCAAGAGCCCCTGTACCTGCATCCTGTCTGCTTCCTGTCTGATCCTGCTTGATCCCTGACTCTGATTGAACTCCGCCTGTCCTGACCTCTGCTATTCCTGACCACTCTCCAGTCTGCTCCTTTGTACCTTGTCTGCCTGATTGTTCCTGACCCGGCCCGTCTGACTATGCTCTGCCTGCTCCTTTGTACCTTGCCTGCCCGTTTGCTACTGACCCGGCCTGCCCGACTACGCTTAGTATTGTTCTTTTGTTATCTGTTGGGGGTTTTGGTTTGGTTTGTTTGCACTGTGTTTATGTTTAGTCTCTTGCACTGCGTTTATGTATTGTTTAGTCTTAAATAAATTATATTGTTTATACTATATCTGAAGCCTGCGTTTCCCTGTGTCAGTCCACACACCTCTGGTCATACCCGGAGCCCTGACAACAGGTGTTACATGTTGCCGGTTGCAAACAACACACTACTGAGAGTGCTAGCTTCATTTCTATTACATTTGAGACAGGACCTTGGGCAGTTCAAAACTGTTGTACATACTGCATGGATTTAACAAGTTTGTGGAATTTGCAACCAAAATAAAACCAATAATTTGAGGTAGTGCAGAACTACCGCAGTGGACTGCTTTTCTAAGGGAGCAATGAATAAAGCTCCTTAAAGCAGAGCTCCACTCAAAAGTGGAAACTCCGCTTATTTTCCTCCTTCCCCCCTCCATTGCCATATGTGGCACCTTTTGGGGGGAGCAGGTATCTGGGTTTTGACAGGTACCCGCTCCCACTTCCGGCTCAGTTCGCCGTGGCGAAGTGAGCTGGAAGTTCGGCCCCCTCCTCCCTCCCTCAGTCTCCTGGGAACTTTCACAGGTCCCAGAAGACTGCCAGACTGATTAGGAGGCGAAGCGCAACTCGCACATGTGCAGTGGGCACCAGGCTGTGAAGCCGCAAGCTTTCACAGCCTGGTGCCCACAGTTGAGATTCAGGTGCTGTGGAGGAAAGAAAGGGAGAAGGGACTGCACGGGTAAGCACATTGCTGCACTCCGGGACAGGTAAGTGTGTGTTTATTAAAAGTCAGCAGCTATAGTTTTTGTAGCTGCTGATTTTTAATAAAACACAAAAACAGCTGGAACCCCGCTTTAAAGTTGTAACCCCCTTTTTTTAAAATGGCAAACATGTCATACTTAGCTGCTCTGTGTAAAGGTTTTGGCCCCGATCCTTTTCTTCTGTGGTCCTCCTTCCTGCCAAGTTCCCCCATAGCAAGCTGCTGGATCTCAAGCTGCACTGTGTGTGCTCACTGACACACACAGTGGGACTTGGCCCCGCCTTTGTCCCCTCCTCACAGGCTGTGATTGACAGCAGCTGGAGCCAATGGCCAGTAAGGATAGATATAGCAGAGAGCCACTGCTCTCAGGCACAGCACTGGATAGGGCTCAGGTGAGTATAAAGGGGGCGGCGCAGGGGGGCAGTAAATATCTTAATAGATACAGAGAGAAAATAAAGGAAGGAATTGAGGCAAAGGATGGAGAAAGCAAGATTGACTGTAAGGCATAGAAAGAAAGACAGCGATAGAAGTAGAAGAGGGAAGGAGTGAAGCAGAGAGAGACAGTGAAGTACAGAGTGTAAGAGCAGAGAAAGAGAGAGAGAAATGGGCAGCACAGTGGCTAAATGGTTAGCACTTCCACCTGGCAGTACTTGGGTCATTGGTTCAAATCCCAACCACGGCACCACCTGCCTGATGCTTGCATGTTCTCCCTGTGCCTGCGTGGGTTTCCTCCGGGTACTCCGGTTTCCAAAGACATGCTGGTAGGATAATTGGCTCCTGTCTAAATTGGCCCTAGTATGTGTATGTATGAATGTGAGTTAGGGACCTTAAATTGTACACCCCTTGAGGGTTAGGGACTGATGTGAATGTACAATATATATGTAAATTGACGGCACTATATAAGTACCTGAAATAAATAAAATAAATTCTGATGGGAGAGGGATGGATAATAAAGAGGAAGAGAGATAAAGGGTGAGCAGGCAAAAGAGAGAGAAGTATAAAATATAAAGATAAAACGGCATATAAGTGAGCACTAAAGGTGAGCTGCTGTAACACCGAAAGGCACCAAAAACCTTCTAAGACCAACTGATATATTAAGGTGCAGCGCTAGAATCATAAATCTAATATAATGCAATCACTAATGAAATGATAAAGTGCAGATGCTAACAACGGAAGTGATGAATCAATCATCACAGGTAAATCCATAAAGTGACAAATATTGCAAATGCTCATTCCCAAAGGCAGGTAAAAGATATAGTGACAATAGTGCAAAGGCACATTCAGGAAAGTAAAGATGGTGCTATAAGTGACAAAATCTGTATAACAATAAATAAATGTGAGGCTTCAAATGAAGTGATCCTCTGTGTATCTTCCGGGGATAAAATAATAGAATTACGCACTCACCAGATGCATAATTCCATCAAGCATTTGAGAAATATTACATCTCAGTGGGCCAGCTGGATCCTCTTAAGGACACCTCTATCCCAGTATGGACTTCCCTCTGGGTCATCAGTGGAATGCAGCACCTCTCACCTCCTTTCTAGGTGGGCTCTGTGGGTGGTAAGGCTCAGCAAGAGCCCCAAGAAAGGATGCCAAAATAGTGTGATACCAGAAGGTGGCTCCTGGACCATATGGTGGATGCGGCGGCGTGACGTCAGCATGTAGGCTCCTCGCTGATGCATTTCGTGTGCACGCATGTTCTAAAAGGGAACCCTTTTATCGTACGAACCTGACATCGGGGGGGTTTTTATTCACAATTCATCCCCCGGAACTGGGGACACCCTACATGTCTCCATATAGAGAACCGGACACCAAAAAATCATCACATACGGGACCTTGTGTCCGCTATGTGATGAAAAAAAAAAAATTTTATTGGAAAAAAATAAAGTTAGACCCATGCACATAACATCCCCCTCCCCCCAAAAAAAATTTGAGGACCCTCACATATATGCACGTACGATCGTAAACGCACACATCAACTCTGGTAGCAAAAGGGCTAAAGAAAGTAAAATACAGAGGGAGAGAGAGATCTTTTATTCATCCATAGTCTTCTTTTTAAATAATTTGACCAGTTGTGGACACTGGACGTACTACACATGCTCAAAAGACATTCATCAAAGTACACAGGGCATGTGTACTACGTCATGTCCTTCTGTCCCACTGCTGCTCCCTTCCTCACAATTGCTGGAAATTCTTGGCTGTCAAAATGACAGCCAGGAGTTGCTGTGTAAATACAGAGGTTTGGAAGCTGCTGCTCTGAAAAGCATGCAGTGTTTATAAACATTGTTCAGAAGCAAGATAGGAAGATACAAAATAACATTGTTACTTTTATATCTACTCATCTATTCATCTGCAGATCAATGGGATAAGCTTTCATCTCTATACGATGTCAGTTAAAGAAACCCAACAATGTAAAAAGAAAAGTCTGCAAAAATAACATTTGTTACTACCAGTATTTAATTGTATTTTCCTATTTTATTTGTTCCTCTTTAATTTTAAGTTTATTCTAATCAGCCTTAATTAAGGCTGGCCACACAGGCTGAGCGAAAAGAAAAATGACCCAATTCCCCCATCCGCATATTTGAGGTGGATGGAGGAATCACTGCTGAGCTATTGTGTTGTGATGGCAGGGAGCCTACTCTGTCATTAGAACACACTGATCAGTGTTGCAGGATATAGCCAGCGGCGTTGATCATTCAGGAAAAACTTGCAGGCTGGTTGTACAGAAGACGATCGGTAGTCAATCAATCCGCCCACGCCCTGCTAAATCGGCCAAATTTAAATCCATGTATGGCCATCTTAACTCACTCTTCCCTTTTTCCTACTGATTGATTTTATACAATTTTTAAAAAATATTTATATTTAAACATTTTTTTCATTGGTATTTGTTTTTGTTGTTACTTTGTTACATGTGGTAAAATTAAAAAAAAAATATATTTTTTATTTAACTTTAAAATGCTTTGTTCCAGAATATTAATTTTGGTGTAATTTTAAAGTGTTACTAAACCCAGGACCCTGCATTCACTATATCTGGTCTCCCCGACCCTGCATTCACTATATCTGATCTCCCAGGACCCTGCATTCACTATATCCACTCTCCCCAGACCCTGCATTCACTATATCCGGTCTCCCAGGACCCTGCATTCACTATATCTGCTCTCCCCGGACCCTGCATTCACTATATCTAGTCTCCCCAGACCCTGTATTCACTATATCTGGTCTCCCCGGACCCTGCATCCACTATATCCGGTCTCCCCCGGACCCTGCATTCACTATATCCGGTCTCCCCGGACCCTGCATTCACTATATCCGGTCTCCCCAGACCCTGCATTCACTATATCTGGTCTCCCCAGACCCTGCATTCACTATATCTGGTCTCCCCAGACCCTGCATTCACTATATCTAGTCTCCCCAGACCCTGCATGCACTATATCTGGTCTCCCCGGACCCTGCATTCACTAGATCTAGTCTCCCCGACCCTACATTCACTATATCTGCTCTCCCCGGACCCTGCATTCACTATATCTAGTCCCCCCGGACCCTGCATTCACTATATCTGGTCTCCCCGGACCCTGCATTCACTATATCTAGTCTCCCCGGACCCTGCATTCACTATATCTGGTCTCCCCGGACCCTGCATTCACTATGTCTGGTCTCCCCGGACCCTGTATTCACTATATCTGGTCTCCCCGGACCCTGCATTCACTATATCTAGTCTCCCCGGACCCTGCATTCACTATATCTGGTCTCCCCGGACCCTGCATTCACTATATCTAGTCTCCCCAGACCCTGCATTCACTAGATCTGGTCTCCCCGGACCCTGCATTCACTATATCCAGTCTCCCCGGATCCTGCATTCACTATATCTGGTCCCCCCGGACCCTGCATTTACTAGATCTGGTTTCCCCGGAGCCGGCATTCACTATATCCAGTCTCCCCCGACTCTGCATTTACTATATCCGCTCTCCCCGGACCCTGCATCACTATATCCGCTCTCCCGGACCCTGCATTCACTATATCCGGTCTCCCCCGGACCCTGCATTCACTATATCTGGTCTTCCCAGACCCTGCAGTCACTATATCCGCTCTCCCCGGACCCTGCATTCACTAGAGCTGTTCTCACACAGTACACGGAACATGGAAATTCAATTATTTTAGTAAATATAAACTTCTAAATACCTTTTTCATCAGCAGTTAGAGCAGTCTTATGACTTCTATCAGTGTCCAGCCGAGCACTGGTTAAAGCTTGTAGGATGAGTTTTCTTTCTGCTCTAGGAAGATGCAGAAGCCCTGACCTCTGTCTGGACAGTGCTGATTGACCCTGTGCTTATCACATGCACTCTCCAAAAAAAAGAAACCTCTCTAGAAATACACACCAAACTGAGCATGTACAGACTGTCTTCACAATATATATCTTATCAGGAGATAAGAAGGGGGGCACTGGCAGAAGGGGAGGATAAGACGGGATCAAACAGCGTTTTTTACACAATGTAGAGGATTAACCCCTTAGGTTCCACAGTGAGTATAACAAGCATGCTTTACTGCATCTACAGACTGATTGTACTGTTGTGAGTTTAGTAACACTTTAAATGGGACAAATGACAGGACCCTGGGTTTATTTTTGCCTTCCTCTGGATCAACTGTGGGTGGAGGATTATAACTTTTTTTTTTCTATGGTTGAAGTGGATGGACTTTTGTCTTTTTTCAGCCAGACTAACTATGTATTATTATTATTATACAGGATTTATATAGCACCAACAGTTTGCTCAGCGCTTTACAATATAAGGGAGACAGTACAATTACAGTACATTTCAGTACAGAAGGAATAGGAGGGCCCGGCTCGTGCAGCTTACAATCTAAAGGAAGGGGGAGGTGATACAAAAGGTGATAGCTGCGGGGGATGATCTGGTGGAGGTGATTCAAGTACAGTTCTTAGGTGGAGGTGGGATAGGCTTCCCTGAAGAAGTGAGTTTTCAAAGATCGCCTAAAGGCAGACAGGGTGGGGGCTGACCAGACATACTGTGGTAGGGAATTCCAGAGGATGGGAGAGGCTCTGGAGAAGTCCTGGAGGCGAGCGTGGGAGGAGGTGATGAGGGAGCTAGAGAGGAGGATATCATGGGAGGAGCGGAGTGGGCAATTTGGGCGGTATCTGCAGATGAGGTTGGCGATGTAGCTAGGGGCAGTGTTGTGGATGGCTTTGTAAGCTGTGGTCAGTATTTTGAATTTGATACATTGGGTTAGTGGAGGTCAGTGGAGGGATTGGCAGAGAGGGGCAGCCTTCGCTGATCGGTTGGTAAGGTGGATGAGTCTAGCAACAGTCGCTGATCGGTTGGTAAGGTGTATGAGTCTAGCAGCAGTCGCCGATCGATTGGTAAGGTGTATGAGTCTAGCAGCAGTCGCCGATCGATTGGTAAGGTGTATGAGTCTAGCAGCAGTCGCCGATCGGTTGGTAAGGTGTATGAGTTTAGCAGCAGTCGCTGATCGGTTGGTAAGGTGTATGAATCTAGCGGCAGTCGCCGATCGGTTGGTAAGGTGTATGAGTCTAGCAGCAGTCGCCGATCGGTGGTAAGGTGTATGAGTCTAGCAGCAGCAGTCGTCGATCGATTGGTAAGGTGTATGAGTCTAGTAGCAGTCGCCGATCGATTGGTAAGGTGTATGAGTCTAGCAGCAGTCGACGATCGATTGTTAAGGTGTATGAGTCTAGCAGCAGTCGCTATCGATTGGTAAGGTGTATGAGTCTAGCAGCAGTCGCTGATTGATTGGTAAGGTGTATGAGTCTAGCAGCAGTCGCCGATCGGTTGGTAAGGTGTATGAGTCTAGCAGCAGTCGCTGATCGATTGGTAAGGTGTATGCGTCTAGCAGCAGTTGCCGATCGGTTCCTAAGGTGTATTAGTCTAGCAGCAGTCGCTGATCGATTGGTAAGGTGTATGAGTCTAGCAGCAGTCGCTGATCGATTGGTAAGGTGTATGAGTCTAGCAGCAGTCGCCGATCGGTTGGTAAGGTGTATGAGTCTAGCAGCAGTCGCCGATCGGTTGGTAAGGTGTATGAGTCTAGCAGCTGTCGCCTGATCGATTGGTAAGGTGTATGAGTCTAGCAGCAGTCCCTGATCGATTGGTAAGGTGTATGAGTCTAGCAGCAGTCGCCGATCAGTCGGTAAGGTGTATGAGTCTAGCAGCAGTCGCTGATCGGTTGGTAAGGTGTATGAGTCTAGCAGCAGTCGCTGATCGATTGGTAAGGTGTATGAGTTTAGCAGCAGTCGCTGATCGGTTGGTAAGGTGTATGAGTCTAGCAGCAGTCGCTGATCGGTTGGTAAGGTGTATGAGTCTAGCAGCAGTCGCTGATCGGTTGGTAAGGTGTATGAGTCTAGCAGCAGTCGCCGATCGATTGGTAAGGTGTATGAGTCTAGCAGCAGTCGCCGATCGGTTGGTAAGGTGTATGAGTCTAGCAGCAGTCGCTGATCGGTTGGTAAGGTGTAAGAGCGGCAGAATTTAGCCAGTAATTAGATGTGGGGCACAAAGGAGAGTTCAGAGCTCAGGATTACGCCTAGCACCTTGTAACTATGTAACTATGACCCAACCAGGGGCGGACTGACAACTCATGGGGCCCCCAGGCAATAGGGGATCATGGGGCCCCTGTGTCCTTGCCCAAACTCAAAAAACCCTATGAAAAAGGTACCAGGGGCATCTCATGGGGCCCCCTACTGACCCTGGGCCCTCAGGCAGTGCCCAAGTTTCCAAATGGTCAGTCCGCCTCTGGACCCAACACCAATGAAAGTAAAACGGACACTTGTTGAGGAATTGAATAACAAATAAAATCATTTTTGTAAGACGATATCATCGTAAGAAAGCCTAGTCTGTCCTAACAAAACAAATGTATATATGTATTATTTATGTTACATATAGAGATCACAGGGTCCGTAGCAGAAACGTTGAGATTGCCGTGGGTCCATAGACGGTGTACATATGCTAGAGATGAATTGGATAAAATGTTAAAATTCATGAGCTGTGATCGCTGCTGGTGCGATTTCCTACAGCTAATACTATGCCATGCAAATCACACTTTCCCTGAACGTGACTTCAGTGAAAATAAATGATCCGAGAATTATTCATCAACGTTTTCAAGCTACAAAATCCCAGCAAAGCAAATCCAGGAGACTTGTAAGCTGCCGCCTCTCTGTGAAGCTGCTAGGGATCAATACAGCGTATGTGTTTGAGGATTCTCGCTCACGACGCTGATAAATGACCATGGAGCTGACTCCGGCGCACTACATGAACAGCAGGAAGAGACAAGTTATACTCACCGGGGCTGCGGTAATTGGTGTTGGTGTTAGAGGTTGAAAAAAGAAACAGCGAGCATCAAAGCAGAAAGTGTCACGTAATTCTGGAATCATGTTTATGCATTAACCACTTCCAGTCCGGACACTTGCACCCCCTTCCTGTCCAGGCCAATTTGCAGCTTTCAGCGCTATTGCACTTTGAATGACAATTGCGCGGTCATGCAACACTGTACCCATATGAATTTTTTTACCATTTTTTTTAGACAGATAAAGCTTTATTTTGGTGGTATTTATTCACCACTGGGATTTTTTTTTTTTGCTATATAAATGAAAAAGTACAAAAATCTTGAAAAAAAAGTGTTTTTCTTATAAACGTTTGCAAATAAATAATATTTCATCATAAATCTTGGCCAAACTTTATTTGGTTATCTTTTCAGTACAAAAAATAACCCAAATTAGTTTATAACCAAAAATTATGATTTTTTTAAATTTTTCTTTTACATTTTTCTTTTATCATTTATTTATTTATTTATCGAGTTTATATAGCGCCAAAGGGTTTGCTCAGCGCTGTACAATAGAGGGGGGACAATACATGAAACAGAACAGTAACATCAAACAGCACACGAGGGGTTAGAGGGCCCTACTCTTTCGAGCGTACAATCTAGGAGGGAGGGGGTAGAGGCACAGGAGGAAACGGCTGTGGGGGATGGAGTGGTAGGAGGAGGGAAGGGCAGCGGCTGTTAGGTGAGGGTGGGGTAGGCTTCCCTGAAGAGGTGGGTTTTCAGGGAGCGCCTGAAGGTGAGGAGGGAAGGTGACAGTCTGATGGATTGGGGTAGTGAGTTCCAGAGGATGGGGGAGGACCTGGAGAAGTCTTGCAGTCGTGCGTGGGAGGAGGAGACCAGGGAGCAAGATAGAAGGAGGTCCTGTGAAGAGCGAAGGGTACGGGTAGGGTGGTACCTGGGAATCAGGTTGGTGAGGTAGTTAGGGGCAGTGTTGTGAATGGCCTTATAGGTCAGGGTGAGCAATTTAAATTTAATGCGTTGGGCAATGGGGAGCCAGTGGAGGGAGAGGCAGAGGG